TATATATATATATATATATTAAACCCGAAGATGTTTCGGGATGTTTTCAATTAGATACAAAAATTGAAATATGTTTGCTTAAAGGAAACAGAGACATTAAGAAGTTCATGTTAGAAAGCCAATTAAATTTGGTCCAAATGTTAGACTAATGCAAGTTGCTAAATTTCAACTATTGAACCTGATGTAGAGAACTTGTTGAGTTGGTCAATTTTGTTTCAAATGCTTAAAGCTAACGATGAAAAGAAACAAGAAAGACAAACGTTTGTTTGGTTTAAAAAAATACGAGAATACGAGAACAGATCCTGAGTTTGTGATTCGTATTTGATAGAAAAGGTGGTTTAAGTTTCGAGCTAACCAATTATTATTATTGATTAATATAATTAAATATAATATAATTACTATATATATTATTATTTTTTTATAATAGTCCAGACACACCGAAATGAGAGGGATCCAAAGATAGTACAAGTATGTGATTGTATAGTTGAGAATGACTTAAAGAAATTAATTTGTACTACCTATATTAACAACATGCATTTACTTCTCGGTAGCTTATCTCATTAGAACTCCACAGTTAAATGTGATTGACTTGAATTAATTTAGGGATTTAGGAATGGGTGACATTCTAAGAAGTTTTCTAGAAAGTGTGCGAGTAAGGATAAAGCACGCTGAAAAGTGAAGTGTCGTGAAATGGAGCCCTTGAGAGGTCAAATATGAGAGGTATTGCATTAATAAAGTTATTAAAATTAAAAAAAAATTCTGACAGATTTATCTATTGAAACCACATAAAGATTTTTAAATAATACCAACGGAATATCTGTTGGTAATTTCCGACAAATATATTCGTCGATAATTTGCGACGAATATTTACTATAAAATCATCCGTCAGAAACTTTTTATGGATTAAATTATTTCAAATGGATTTTTTTTTCGACACCCTTTTTCTGACGGATTTACATTCGTCAAAAACTTTCTTTTTCCGACAGATAATCCTTTTTATCGATGGATTATGTCCATCAAAAGTTTGCGTTTTTCTTGTAGTGGGTCACCATTTACTTCTCTCCTTCTTCTTTCCAGCTAGTTTACTAGCACCAAATTTTAAGAGTTGTTTTTGGTCTTTTTTTTTCATTTATCAGAGAAGTTGGTCGTGGTGGAGTCTTTACAGTTTACACAATCGAAGAAAAAGTTGATGCTTGAAGATTTAGTTAAGAGGTATTTTTCCGGTTTTCTATTATAAGTAAAAAAAAAAATTTAATATAAGAAAATTTAATCATGTTTGTGTCATCTTCCTAAAATATTTCTCATGTATGATATTTTATTTGCATTTATAACAAGAACAATTTAGGAAGAAGTATTGGACACCTTGTTTACACAGACATATGTCTCCACAATGGTATGGTATTATTCGCTTTGTACTTAAATCCTTATGATTTTATTTTTTGTTATCTCTCAAAAGACCTTGTACCAATAGAAACTATGTTTCATAAAATTTTATTTTCCCTCATGATCCAATGATGTGGAACATTGTTTGTATCCTAACAAACCTTCCCTCAAATAAAGGACCATAATTTAACCTCCCTTTAACAGAAATCCATTTTTTCATCTACGAGTATTCAATTGTGACTCTTAGAGTTTTAGTCACAACTGTCAACTCTAAATACTTGCATCGTCATTAGCTTATGTCGATAGGACATGTCGCCTGACCTCCACATCACTAAGAAGACTTTCAACACAAGGAATTTGACACTTGGATCCACTGCCTTCCATTGTCAAATACTCATTTGAGACTCTGAACTGCTGGACCATTGGCTATGATACCACTTTGATGATGAAAATCCAACACAATAACAACTATGAAAAAGAGTAATAACACAATGAAAATTAAATCCCCTACTTGTAAGAATCTATGAGGAGCGCCAATAAAATAGAGTAAAAAGGATATCCCAAGTGCATAAGAGATACATTTATTATTAACATGAAAAACCCCTCAATGTAAGGGTAAAAAATCATGAATCGTCCAAACTAAATAAAAACTTTACTATGATCAACAAATGATACAAAAGAGTATCCAAAAGAACGCACCAAAGAGAATTCAATCACAATTACTTACAATTGAGAAATAAGAAGATGAAAAGTTTCAAAATAGAGTTTTTATTGCAAGACGTTTTTCTCCTACTCTAGACTTTCTTTTGATGATATATCAATTGAATATGAAATGTCACGTCGTACAAATCTGCTATCAAAAAATCATTCTGATCCAATGATGAACAAATCTTTAGTTGCAATTTAACAAATGTTGGCTAGTGGATAAGCGACTTGTAACTTTTTGTCTTCTCTTCTCTCTGTATTTTGTTTCAATTTTCTCTCAAATTGAGTCACTCTCTCTCTCTACCAAATTTGTTTCCTCCTCCCTTGAGTAAGTGAGATATGATGTACTTACACAATTTGGACATATTCACCATATAGGAAGGGAGCCCAAAATCTAACAACAATATCACGATATTAGTAAAATTTAATGTAATTGATCACTTTTCTTAATATGTGTTAAATCCATTTTTTATGCTTATAATAGAGAATAAAGAGAATATGCCTCTTTTTATCTAGTTTAATACTTCCTCCGTCCATAATACAATGTTGTGTTTTGAGAAAAAAAAAAATTAGCTAAAACACAAGTGTCACGTTAGTTTTTCAATATAGTATTAATTTTTTCCTTTTCACTTATACCTCACAAGGAGGAATTATTAAATAGTTTAGGACCACTACATGTCCATGGTCTCAAGTAATCATTATATGACATGTATTTAAATTTTTAAATTTACAAAAAAGAATTAATAATACTTAATTACATGTCAAATAGAGACTAGTTAAAAAATTATGTGATATAGAACTTCTTAATAATTTCTCCTGCATAATATTCTTTAGAAAGTAACTATTGTGTTACATCATTTATAATAAAAAGATTAATCATAATATTAATTTTATAAAATTATTATTTATTTTCATCTATTAATTAATTTTCTTATTTTCTGTAAAATAATTTGCCACAGAACTTATGATGGAACTGATGATACAGTCTTTTTTTACTACTGTGTGTTATGAATATGTTTTATCTTTCACAATACACTGGTGAGTAAAAGAACACTTGAGTTCTACCCAACTTGACCTTAAATCGTCTAGAGGATCTAACATTTATCAAGTCTACAATTAAAGTCAAAATGAACACCCTAAACACAATATTATTACACATAACCTAAGTATACATACCACCGTATATGTATAATAATCTAAGATTTCCAACTTCCATTTCATGAGTGATAGTAAGTATGACCCTTTCCTCAAAGTTCTTTCATGGATCAAACACACATTGCTACTTTTGGGAGCACCCCAATTACAGAGAAATTCTAATCTCTACAGGAAGATCGATGTTGGTCTCCATATTTTCTGATGGAGAAATTCAATTTCCTATCAAAACATAAACCAAACAGATTAACCCATAAGAAAAATCCACAAATAGGAAATAAACGACAAGAAGTTAATCCCAAAAACGAGTAAATTAAAAACCCTATTCGTACAGGTTCCGATAGGACACCAACATTTGATATTACATAGGCAAACTCAAAATGAACGTACATCTACGCTGGCACTAAAAGCATAAATAAAGAAAATCCCAAATTTGATTCTAGACGTTGTCATCAAAGATAAACACAGCCTTAAGCAACTAACAGGTAGGAAGACCTAGCCTAAGGGCTCGTTGGATTAATTGTGATATTTATAAGGGGAAAAACATATGGGTTTATGGTACACTTACTGGGTGATAGTTGCAAGTTAGTGTGGGAATAGTCTTCTAACTTGGTCCAACATAATTTGTAAGCCTTGGTTAACCGGTAATTTACAGTTGTTTAAATGTAAATTACCTCTTAACCTGGATTAGGAGGGATGAGGTATACTTTGATAGATTTGTTTGAAATCTTGCATATGGACTTATGGTACATCTTGTACCTATTTAATATAATTATCTTTTGCTGTCAAAAAAGAAAAAAAAAAAAAAAAAAGCCTTAAGCAACTAACAGGTAGGAAGACCTAGCTTTAGGACTCGTTGGATTGTGATATTTATAAGGGGAAAAACATATATCCTTTTCATATTGAAAACATGTGCGAAAAACATTATGAAAAATGATAATTGGATGAATTAAAAAAAAAAAAAAAAAGCAAAACTTAATTTTATAATATATAAGAAACAACCTTAAATTGATCCCGTACATTGGCGTCATTTGTATGTTTGGTAAGTGACTTCAAAGTTCAAATCAATTTCTCAAGGTTATCAAGAGAGGAAATGGATACGGTTAGATTGGTTAACTGACTGCAGAAACGGACGTCAAGCAGCTCCAGATTAATGGCTTTTGAAAAATCAGGTAATTCCTTCAGATATTTGGAGCCATAAAGTCTAACTTGTTTTAAATTCACCAAATTCTGTAGAAAAATAAAACAAATTAACATAGACATCGCACATGAGCTCAGGTTGTTGATTTTTTTTATTCCTTGAAATAAGAGAAACAATTAATTAAACTGGGAAACACAAATCATTTACCTGCTCTCCATGCCATAGCTTTTCCAGGTGGCTATATGACAGGTCCAAGATCACAAGGTTTTCCGGAGAAAAACTCCCAGGTAATGATTTCAGTGGGTAATTTATCCAACGAAGGTATTTCAGCTCAGTTGGCAAATATTGAAGTCCTTGAGGAAGAATATCCAAGCCATCTTGATCATTTTCGCTGTGGAAATCCATGAATTGTACATTGCTCATTTTCACAAATACATGAGGGCTTAGCTTCAGCTTTGTAATTGCTGATAAGTGTGCCCTTATGCTTCTAATGGCCTCACTACCCTGCAGTCATAGTAGAAAAAATAAATTAATCAGACTTCCCACAAAATTTCAAATGTTTTCTACCCACAAAATTTCAAATGTTTTCTAAAAGTTGTATATATATTTACCTTATCATTTTTCAGTACTTCATAAATGTCATCTGAATCCCATAATCTACTGCGATCACCAGGCTTTTTACTAGATTCTTGACGAACAATCTCTTGACCCATTTGTTGTATAATATTGTGCATATACACAATATTATCTTTGGATACACTGATAAGAGATTTATCTTTCAACATCTCTAACCCAATAGCCACAGAATTATCGTTTTCACTATTTTTCAACAAAATTTTTACATAACTCACTTTCAAAATCAACCCACTGAAGAAACAGGCAAGGTCTAAAAATATTCTTTGCTCCTGGTTGTCCAAATCATCGTAACTCAATTTCATGACATTATGAATTTTTTTATTGGGAAACTTTTTAAGCTTGTATAACTCACTTTCCCATAACTCGTTATCTTTTCCATGAAGGAGTTCACCCAAAACTTTAAGAACTAATGGAATTCCGTTTGCATAATTTACCACCCTTTTTGATAACTCGTGGTACTCGACATCAAGATGATTTTGTTTAAAGGCATTCAAGTTGAACAGCGTAAATGCATCATCAAAGTCCAATTCCCCAACCTGATATATAAGATCAACATCATTAATCAACACTTGCTTATCTCTGCTTGTTACAATTATTCTACTACCTGGTCCAAACCAATTATGATCTCCAAATAAAATTTCTAATTGATGTGAATCATTCACATCATCAAGAACCACAAGAACCTTCATATAAGCAAGTCTCATCCTAATATAAGCGGGCAAACCATTTGATGTGTCAAATTTCAAATCTTCTTCTAATAAGGTAGAGAAAAGCTTTTCCTTCAAAGAAATTATTCCATTCCTTTCCGAATCTTCCCTTACATTTTCCAAAAAACAAGAACCATGAAATTCATAACGCAACCTGTAAAATGCTTCTTCTGCTACGGTTGTCTTACCAATACCACCCATACCCCAAATTCCAATAGCACGGACATCGTCATTTGACCCTTGGTGTAACAATGAATTTATATGTTCAAATGGTTTTTCTATTCCAGTAAGTCCTTTAAAGTTGATTGGGTGCATCGCTTTCAACTTCATCAAAATGCAGTTGGTGATTTCATCAAGAAGCTCCGCATCATTCCTGTGCAACAAAAAAATAAATAAACCTTAATTACAATTGTTTAATATTATTCTTTTAAATATTGGAGAGAATTGAGACAGGAAGAAACTATAATTAATAATAAAAACATCAATGAGTGAATCATACCACTAACTAGGAAAATAATTTGAAATCAGTTTCTTTATTTCAACATATAATATATCACCATATATACAATTATTTCCATTTCTTATTTATTTTTATCTTATTTATATATGCCTATTTCAAAATGTACCTCAAAATTAGAAGCGACAATAAAAGTTGATGGGGAGGAGTGCATGACTATTGTAAACTTTTTATGTACAGATTTCGTTTTTTATGGATAAAAAAATTATTTTCAAAATTGGTCTTTATATAAACTTTTTTTTAATCCTATAAACATGTTTGTACTCTATAAACATACAGCTGTTCAACTCAGATGAGGAAGGCACGTTGCTGATTCTCGTTAATCCATGCGTGTCTCTTTTCGATTTTAAGTTTTTTATTATTGCTTTTCTGTTTTATTCTAAGCAGTTTGAGTCTTTGAGAGTTTAATATGAGAATGGCAAAGTTTTGAGTTTTGACCCACTAGGCTTTTTCTTAGGTTGAAGGAAGGACCTTGGTTTTAGGGCATTGCAGGGTTTTATAAAACACTAGCAATATAATTTAATCTCTAAATTCAATGAACCAATGAAACCCTAGCAAGAATCAGCTAGCTAGGGCATTAAGTAATGTTTGCATAAGAAATATATGTTTATTGGACAGAAAATAAATACTCACTTAAAATTGGTTGAGGCAAACCCACTCAAATTAGCAGTATCTTTCAATGCGGATCTATACGTGTCCGCCTTAGCCAAACCATACGTATTCTCGTGTTGAATTAGAGCATTTCCATAGGTTCCCCTTTGATGTCTCACGTCGGAAGGATCAACATTAAAGAACACAGGGATCAGAACCAGTTTTTGTCTCTCTTTGCACTCCAATATTTTGACAAGCTCCTCCAAACACCAAAATGAGGACGCGTAGTTGACAGAGAAAATGACGAGTGCGATTAACGACCTTTCAATTGCAGCAACAAGTGCTGGGGACAGTTCGTTCCCTCTCTCAAGTTGGTAATCCACAAACGCAAATATTTGCTTTCGAGAAAATTCGTGAATCACGTGACTAAGGAAATTTGGGCCGATGTCTTTGCCTCTGAAATTCACAAACACATGATACGTCGCACGAGCAGGTTGCGAAAAACCAGGGTCTGATATTGCTGTTGCCCCCACAAATAGAATAAGGAAGAAAGGTAGAAGCATGCCGAATTTGTGAGATTCCATTGCTTTGAAAAGAGTGAACTTTGTATATTCTTTTTCTCTACAGTTAATTAGGCTGTGTTGGTTACGAAAGAACGAGAAATAAATGAGAGAATTAAGAAAGGAAACAGTAGTTATCTTGTAGGGGGGAGGAGGAGGAGGAATCACGTTAATAATCATGTACGTGGAAAGAAATTTGGTCGGAAAATTACAGGAAAAGGAAACGAAAATAACCTTTACGCGCTAAAAGAACGAAATTTTTATTTTCCACATTTTTTCAACTGTATATATCATTTTCTTACATACAAGTTTTGATTTTCTTTTTTAACGAATAATTCTTTTGTTTTTGTTTTAAATCAAGAGTATTTCCAACTGAAGACCAAAGACAAGTTCCGGGAAACGTCGTGTGTGAGTGACTAGTTCCAGGAAATGTCGTTCTAGGAAGTGTCAAGTGTGTATTTCGGGCTGCAGACCAAAGACTACTACTTTATTCAATAATTCATATTTTATATCAAAGTTTAACAATTTAACCGTTAAATTAAAATTTATTAATGCATAGATTAAGTCAGTAAATTTTGATAAAATTTGAAAACTATACTTTGTTATATAAATTTAATTCAACGTATAAAATATTTTTATAATTATCTATCAATTTAAATTTATGAAATAAAATATCAAATGGTTTTAAAATTTTTCAAAAATATGCATATTTGATTTATGCATTAATAACTTCAAATTTAATGGATGAATCGTTAAAATTTAATGTAAAATATAAGTTATTAAATAAAGTAAGTTTAAATACTCTTGAAATAAGTGGATCGCTAATCTTTATATATATATATATA